TAGAGATGCAGCATGGCATTATTGAAAATGAACAATGATTTACGAAGCCGATTGTGCTCACTTTAATTTGAACAGCGGCCAGCGATTATCTCGCAAAGCTTTTGCTGTTCTCTTCTGAATCAATGGCAACTATTAACTAGTCAACCATGATTTTATTTTACCGTTGAAACTAATTCTGTTTTGACGAGGTCATTCAATAGAATTGAGCCGAAGGCAACCATTTTTCACTTATCACATTTTCGTTAGTCGATTGGTTTGAGAATCCGTGCAATTTCTGGAGTGTGTGTGTGTGTGTGTGTTGCAAACAATTCCGAATATTCGAGTTTTTTAACGAACATTTTTCGCAATAATCTATTGAAGAGTGGTTTGATACTGGAGCAAGCGTCTGATTTATTCAATCCAAAAATTGGCGTAGTATTTTTCCATAATCTTGCATTAGAAACGGGTTTTAAATTCAAGAAATATGGGGTTGTGTTTAGGTGATAAAGAGATTTTCATTGCTCCGGTGAAATTCAACGCGTTAAATTCTGTGGAAAATTCAAATTGTCGAATCAAAATGTTAAAACGATTCGAGGATTGGATGTTGATTTGTTGGTCCATATTTTGGAAATTATCTCAATAAATGTCATAAATGACGTGTTATCTTGATTAATGAAAAAACACACCATTCAACGCATCTTGTGGATGATATTTATAGCCGTAATGAAGAAAATATTTACAAAATTCTAATAAAATCATTCAATTCAACATCTGAAGTTGAATTTTTCAGTCAATTTTGTCAACTCAATATTTTTTCTTTTTTCCTTGGTAGCGGGCGAGACACGAATTCCATTGAATTTAGAAGATAGTAAAACCGACTGCTGTTTTCAGTTGTTCAGATGGTAAACACGATTTTCAACGCTTATTAACCTAACGCGTAGTTCGATCATTGTGTTTGCTGTGTTATTTGCAATCGATAATCTAAATTCATTAAAATGCGTTTGTATTTGGCCCAAAAAGTTGAACGATCGAAAAACAAAACAACAATATCATTGATCTTGACGTTTAACTTCAGATTGAAATGCGCACGAATACGATCGAACGGGACCTCAAAAATTCCTTTAAGCGCTGGCATTGGTAATGCAATTATCATGGACGGAAAATGTTGCTCTAAAATTTGGGAATAAAAATTCGTGTCTTTATCTTTGATTTATCACCTTCTCTACTCAAACTAATATGATCAAATAGACTTACCGAAGATTTGACACATTTTCTGGTTTTTCGTGTGACTATTCTTCTGAAGATGCTGATCAAAATTGTTTGTTGAATTAACCGATGCCGCCAAACTCTGCAACGAATTGCCTAACTCTCCGATAAAGTACTTTCATGCTAATGTCTTTCGTTCCTTCATTGCGACTCAGAAATACTCATGGTGAAACGATGTGTTCTCAAGCTCAAGATGCCCAAATCCTGTATGAATGAAAAATGAAAATGTAAAATAAGGGTTTAAAAAATAAAAATAAACTCGTTTACGAATGACATTCAACATTTGGATTCTCATTATTTTGTTGAAAGAAATTACCATTTTCTATTAAATTCCTCGAATAAGACAGCTATATTTCGATTTTGGGCATTCATTTTCGATAAATTTGTGAGCTGATTGTTGTATATGAATGCGACATCGTAGCCAATCATCGAGATCTCTGGGTCAAATGAGAATTTCAGCAACGCTTGAGGTGATGTGGCTATTGGCCAATCCAATGATATCGGATGTTGTGTCGCTTTTGTTGAAGAGATTGTAGTTTGTCAACAATAAACTAGTTTGTGTAGCTGCGATTGGCACGGATGTTTCTGAAAAAAGAAGTTTGAATCACGTTTAAAATCATGTTTTTTTTGGAAATTTTTCAATTTAATTTTTCTTTCTTTGAACTTTTGGTCACGAACTTTACGAAAAACCATTGAAACAACAAATGATTTTATTTCAATGTAAACTCACCGTTTCAATGCTGTAGCCAATTGGTTTTGGGCAATAAAGTCATTGTGTTTTCATGAAAATTCCTTTTTTGGGCTAAATTTTCACTTCAAAATCACGAATTCTCATTGATTTTTCACGTAAACGTTGATTTCATTGATTCGGATCTTTTGGTCGATCATAGTCGAACTAAATGCCTTTGGCAATTGGTGATACTAATCGATGAAATGCCAAGTTCCTCTGATCTTTTTTCTCAATTATCCAGGTAGTTTTGAAAATGTTGGTTTAATTTGGTATGACAAAGAAGTGAACAATGCTGATTTGACGGACGATTCTAAAATCCAGAATAAATCGCTGATTTCAAATTCACGGCTTTAAAGTTGCTTGAAGGAATGATCATTTGTGAGTAGCTTGAGATTGTAAGCAGTTGCAAATCTACGTTTCAAATAAATCGAGGGTGTGTAGAACAACAGCTAACCATATGTGGTTAGACATGACACGATGATAACCTCTCCAGAACAACAATTCTAAAAAATTTGGAGAAAAAAAAGTGTGCGTTAGTTTGGATTTGTTTAAATTTGAAACAAGTTCACATATCAAAAAAGGAAGTAATCCAAAGAACGACATTTCAATAGAGAACTCACTTGATATTCCTAATCGATTGCCATAGACCAAGCCATCGTTTAATACGCTTTCGATAAATTATGACGGTGAACTTGACCGTGACTGTATTCCGTTTGCCTTGGTCGGTTGATTGAGTTTTTTTCAGCAACAATATAAACTGATGATGAATATCTTTTAGTATTAATCCACCTAAAATGAAACAAAAATAGTAAGAAAATCTTTTAAAAAAGTTTTGACTGCAAAAGAGCCGAAGAAAAGTAAAAAGAAATAAAAAAAATGTCTTTGAAAAAACTTGAAAATGCAAAAAACACTATTAAGTATGAGGTCTCACCCGTCGAATGTGCAGTAGCAATAGTATGACTAAACGAAAGCTATTTTGAAGTTCCACTTTGTCCAGGTAACACGTTCGAAAAACAGGAAAACAAATGTAGCCAAATTCGGAGAGCTCAAACACTGACGATTCGTTCGATTGATTCAATGGGTATTTGAAGGTACCGTGAAACGAAGACAAAACCTGTGAATGAAAATGAAATATTTTTTGATTTAATTGAAATTTTTGAATTTTAGAATCAACATTTTTTTTAGAATTAATCCTAATTAGTTTGTTATTTTTAAATTCTCTCGAAAAATAATGATTTTTCACATTTTTAGACACATTCCTTTATTCACATTGAATTTAATGCTCTAATTTTTTCCTAGATTAGCACGATCACAGATGGAAAACTTCAAGTTTTGCACCTGAGCCATTCAGATGTTCAAAATTTTCAATGCAAATGATTTGAACAGAGGCTTCGAGAAAATGTGTATGCAAACACCATACAAAATTGACATTTTTCTGTTAATTTGTTTTTTCAAGAACAAAATCCACAAAGCGAAAAAAATTCAGAAATATGTTATTATTTTAAGTATTTCAATATTCATTCATGAATGGTATGGACTCGTCTATGCATATAACCTCTGTGTATTAGTTGTGCTATTAACACCGTCATGTGAAACGTTCAAAAAAATAAAAATAATCCCGAGTGTATGCACTTTATGGGTTCGATGTTTGAATAGTTCATTTTTTGCTTATAAATTTTCCATTTATTTCTCTGTCTGCGATAATATTTGGCGCATTTAAAACCTGACTTTGAATAGTTCCAATAGAATGAAATGAATTTTTTTATGAAAAAATATTTTTTTCGAAAAACTGCTTCGAATCGCCAAAGTTTCAACGTAAGGCATGAACACACTTGGTCGAAAAATACGCAAACAACCAAGTGTATGAATTTAAATCGCTAATTCAAACGAGTTTCACGTTACGTCTGTGCAACAAAGTAAAATAAAACCAAAACTCGACTTCGTTGACAATGGGCTGTTATTGCAATGCGATAAAACTGAATTTCCGTTGAGTTACATGCACAATTCTCATCGGTTGAATTCTATTGGGCAAACATTTTCTGTAGAAAAGCCCTTAATCAACCAAAAACCAATCGAGATTTATTCATAGAAACCAAGATCAATAGAATTTTGATGAAAATTATGGCAACGCTTTGCTTTGAAGAAGCATTGAGGGCATGTTATATTATTTTATTTTACTTTCTTGCACAGACGTAACGTGAAACCCATTTGAATTAGCGATTTAAATTCATACACGCGCATTTTTAGACTCAGTGTGCTCACGTCTGACGTTGCAACTTTGGCGATTCGAAGCAGTTTTTCGAAGAAAAATATATTTTCATGGAAAAATTCATTTGTTTTAATTGCAACTATTCATATTCAAGTCTTAAATGCGCAAATTATTATCGCAGACAGAGAAATCAATGGAAAAATTAAAAGCAAAAAATGAACTATTCAAATATCGAAGCCAATAAAGTGCATTTTTCAATACAAAGTTGCACACTCGAGATTATTCCCATTTTTTGCACGTTTTATGTGACAGTAATTATAGCATAACCAATACAGAATCGCCTATGGGCGATTATTCTATACCATGCATGAATATGTAGGTGAACTCATGTCTTATCTCTTTAATACAGCATGAAACTGTATCCGTGAACCGCATATTACATTGCAGTTGTGAACGAGTGAATTGAAGATTGAAGAATGAAATAAAGAAGAACGATGAATATGCAAAATGACTCATTAAGAAATTGAGTGTTTTTTTTCATTACAGTTTTCAAAGCTGAGTGTTATAGAATGAGATTTTTTCAGAAATGCTTTTGAAAAGAACAATAAATGAACACTTTCATTCAAGGATATTAAAAACCTTGAACAAACCAAACTTATTTTTTTCATCCGAGATTTCAATGAAACGTTTTTTAATCAAAACACAAAAAATTTAAACAATATTTTGCATGTATCACGTTAGTTTTTCTCACGTTTATTCCTAGTTTTTTTTTCGTCACCAAACTTACCTAATTGTAGCGAATTCTATGTGATTCTTCTTGTGATTTATATTCTTCAGTCCATCGATGCTCAAAATCTCGTCAAATTTTTATCGCCGTTTCATGAATTGCTATTAAATTTCGACTTTTTTCCCACTTTTAGTGAACAACTAAACACAGTTAGATAATACAGTTGTATCATGAAAATTAATTGAAAACTCAAATTCACTAAAGCTTTTTCGTTCGATCGTTTTTTTTAATGAACTGCAGAAATTGCACTTTTTAAGTTCAAAATATTTTTTTCTCAAGGAATACATGAAATTTCATTCACCGATCAAAACATCACGCAATTGAAATGTCCAAAAATTCAGATGGATTGCCAAAGAAAAAAGTTCAATTGAATTTGTACAATGTTTTTAGTTTTTTTCGTTTCTTGTTCAATGTTCAGTCACGAGCACAAAATTTGGCTACTTCCACACTATTTCACATTCGACGACAAGACAACAAAAATTCCAATGTTCATTTCAAAGTGCAAAAACTTGACAAAATTGGAAAAAATATGTTCAATTCGTCGTTGATTTGTTTTTTTTTTTCTTCACATAAAAATCCACTTTAAATCGAAAAAAATCCAATTTATTATCATTTCTGCAGAGAAATCTTCGAAATTCACTTTTTTTTTCCTCATATTCACTAAAGTTCAAACTATTTTTTTTTCATCAAATGTTTTTTTTTCCATTTTTCACATCAAATGTTTTTTCAGTCGTTTTCTCGAATTGGAAAAAAATTGGCACACACTCAAGTCGTACGTAATATTCCAAAGTTCTTTTTTGTTCAACCAAAAAAAACGCAACAAGAGAACAACACTTCTAGGTGGCTCATATTATGAGCACCGGCCAATTTTTTCCCATCCGATCGCGACGAGAGTTCACAGTCGACTGAGTGCAGTAAGTCGCTACATTGCTCAAAGTGCGATCGGCTTTTCAAGTGACAACGAATTGCAAACCGATGAACCGAGTCGAATGCATGTAGAATTCATTGCACATACACTGTAAGCCTCGCACAAATACAAATAATACACTCAAAAATCACGTATACGACACATGTCATGTGTATTTCTATTTGTTCTTTCTCGCTCTTCGCATTCTGTTTTTAATATCCCCATTTACATGTACGATTTGATTTGATTAACTCATTCGAACAGCAATGTTTCGCGCGATGTATGAGTACGGTTCTGTGCGGTTTTACAGAGAGCAAATATGTGCATTGAGCCGTATTGAGTTGTACACACATGAATGTGTTTTGTTGAATGTGCACTAGCTACTATCGATGCAATATGTAGCGCGTCAAAACAAATGATGTAATTTCGAGATTAACGATCGTTTCTGCAACATTGTATTTTAAACTCATTTTTTTTCGTTTTGTTTTTTCATGAGCTCAATGATTTATTTAAACGGCTCTATATCAGTGGCAGTATTTTGCTTTTTGGTTCAAACGCAAATAGTTTCAAAATTCAAAAACAAGACATCCAAATCCAAAACTGAATGAAGTTTGAATTCAGAGATAGATCTGAACGAGTGAGTTCGTTTAAATTGAACATTTGTAGATTTTTTCAAAGAAAACCGAATATATTTTCAGAAGTGGCACGGCATTTCAGTCTTCCAGTGTTAAAATACCGCAAATCGGAAAAGTTTCAACAAAAATCGTTCACAAACTTATTTGAACAAAACGTGCACACAAAAGAGTACGATGCATGCATTTGAAATGAAAATTTCTGTTGAGTTTGCAACAAAGCAGAAGCAAAGTATTATTTCAACTGCCTTTGCAATGACCTTTAGTTCGCAATGGGCCAACGCAATGGGCCAATGCAATGCGATAAGGCAGAAAAGGGCCTAAGTGTACTTTTTTTGCGAACAACTTTCATTCAAGTCAGCTCGCGTTTCAATCGTTCACATATTCTTTTGCCACTGTCCACTTTGTGGCAGAAACGTTTTAAATCGGTTTAAATTAGCACAAAATGCACTGGCGCATACCACTTACATGTTTGCAGATTGAAATTACCGTTTTGAACGATTTCTGCCGGCATCAGCACGAAATTGCTACGTGCCCCCTTCAATTGCCGTTCAAATGCATTTTTATTGTCCGTAACTACTCGTTTTTTACTCAATTTGAGCACGAATTAAGCATTGAGAACAAATAAAATCGCTCTGGAAGTGTGAGCATTTTGTGACGTGGAAATTTACATTCGGGTTGAATTTCACTCACCGAGTTTCACTCGACATTTGCATTCTGTTAGACTTACCGGCACATGAAGAATATGTATAAACCTTGGAATTATCGCTTCATTGCGATTTTCAATTTAAAATTCCAGTGGAATCATCGATTTCTAATGTCACACAGTGAAAAATAAAAGTCCACACTTAGGCGGATTTTCGACTGGTAGAGGCGCCCAGTCTTATATTTTGCCTAGTAAATTGAGTTTCAGACGAAAAACCAACTAGATTATAAGCGGAATTTCGCCTGCAGCTCAAATTACTAGCAGCAATATCGGCTGAATGCGTTTTTAGCTGAAAAAACGGCTAGATGTGGACTTTTATTTTTTACTGTGCACCAAACGAAATTATTGCCTAGAAGTCTGGAAAAAGGCAATCTGCTCATTATTCCAATTGCTGTTTAATAGATCAAATCCTTACCATGTTTCGTAAATGCACCGCCTTCAATTGCTATTAGCTGGAGAATCACAATACATTTTGATTGTTTGTTGCGCTACATTTTTTTTTGGTTTGGAGCATCGGTGCAGCGACTTTTTTCATAGCTATTCCAAAAATTGTTCATCAAAATTGATGATTTTGTACTTGGTGGCTTTTTCTGCGTTTTTTTCTCTTTCCCTTTTTTACGATAACGTCGCATGAATTTAAAATTCCAATTTTTCGTTGAATGCCAATTCGGCATTGCCAAATGTGTCGGTTGAAACAATGCATTGTGACAAATTTACATTTGGACAAGCGAGTTTTTGCACCTTTCTGCCGAAATCATCATTATTTTTTTTCGTCCTATGATTCTCTTTCACAATGTTGAACGGCACAACACAAATATTGTTGGCACAACACAAATAAGGCGACGATAAAAGTGTGTATAGTTTCATTAGCGTGGGGATGTGCAATGGAAAATTTGAAATCTAATAACTTACCGTGCTTCAAGTTCCAGCCAAAGTTTTTTTTGCTGGTCATCAAATTGAAATGTACTTATTAGGTACCAAAATTGAATGGAAAAAAAAACTGCAAGAATCTTTATTTCCAATCACCGACCGCCGAATTTCGTTTGGTTTTCATTTTCAGGCAAAAATGGAGCAAACGGATATACTTTAAGTTTCAGTCAATAAATGAGGCACAAATTTTGGTTTATGAGTATTATGTTTGTAACTGATTTATCAATTATGATGTTGATCGCGATATAACAGTTTGGAAAGCGTCTTAATGGTGTTGCGTTACTATGTTCATTTGATTTTCAAATCGCTTTTTGGTAAATCAGTATATTGCTATCACGAAAGTTGCACCTAGTGCCATAGATTTCATTGGCACATAGTGTTGGCCTCCCATGTTGACCCAGTTTGAAGAGCAGAGGTCAAAAAGTGAAAAAAGTACAAAAACCACCCAAAAGTGGGTCAACCTCCCTCCCCAACCCCAAACCAATTGCATTTTTTGATTCCTCGTCGAAAATTAGCTATACCTCCCAAACATCAGTTTTTGATAAAATCCTCCACTGTGGCTCAAATCATCTCTGAATGTGCAGTGTGAAAAATTGATATTTTCCTATACTTTTATACGGATTCTTTGTGTTTTTTCTGTTTTTCTCCCATAACTCGTACCCCATATGCGATGGAGCAGAATTTTGTTCAGCAAAGTTTTAGATCTCGTTGAAATCCACAGTTTTGCCGCAGACAGTCATCACTTATCTATTATCAGTAAGAAGATAATGGCCTTGATAGCTTTTATCAATTATCACTGTTATCTCCTTACTGATAATAGATAAGTGATAATTGTCGCGGCAAAATTGTAGGTTTCGTCGAGATCCAAAACTTTGCTCAACACAGTTTTGCTCCATCGCATATGGGGCACGAGTTATGGGAGAAAAACCGAAAAAGGAACTATGTGTAAATGAAATCTATGGCACCAGGTGCAACTTTCGTGATAGCAATATACTGATTTACCAAAAAGCGATTTGAAAATCAAATGAACATAGCAACGTAACACCATTAAGACGCTTTCCAAACTGTTATATCACGATCAACATCATAATTGACAAATACGGTGATTGTCTTCCAATTATATGATCCACTTTTAATGATGAAAAATATTTGTTCATATAGAAAATTGATAAGCATTCGAAGGCGAATTTAGAGTATACATCCAACACGAGCTCGCCATGGTCAGATTTAATATTGGGAGCCGCTTTAGTGACTCCATAGTTTAATAATCTTCGATCGCCCTCCGATAACAGAGAAATATATGTTATACAATGTACATATTAACAACGTGCGAGTCCATAGTTTGAAAAACTAAAAAGTTAATAAACTTGAAAGTTTTCTAAACGTCAACTGCACGCAGAAAACAGAGGAAAAACATATGCACGTGTTAACGACGTTTGAATCCCAAGATTATTGAACGTCTGGCACCCGAACACGACACAACAACACATGGAATCATATATTTCGTATGCGACTCCATTTTTTTTCGTTTCAGATAATATTCCTAAATTTAAAATTCTGAAGGCACCAAAAAAAATTTGCTTCCAATTAATGGTTTTGAACGTTTTTTGAGTAAAATTTTAGAAATTATAGTTTGCTACCGATTCAGCCAACATTGGAAATTGGCTGCCATGCATCCTAGTCACCATAAAAATTTACAATAATTGATGTTTTTTTAGAACAGAATAAAGTGAAAAGTCGTTCACAAGGTGTTTGGTTTTTGGGCTGTAACCGGAATCACAATGTGTGTGGATTGCATTAAATAAAATGCCATCTATGTCATGATGATTTTGTTCGTATAAGTCCATATGCATTCAATTTGAATGCTAAAAAAACGTTCAAAAATGCCAACATATACAGAAATTCCACTGTGAATTCTACGCTTAGTCAAAGTTTGAATATGCACTGAACCTACTGCGCGACGAATGCTTCCATTAATAAAATCCGTCAAGTTGCACTGGTGTGTGAATAATCCAAATAATACTGAAATAAAAGGGACATGAGCTCATTTCTAGAAATGAATATTTTGAATGGAAAGCCGTTGGATTTGAGAAAAAAACATCAGACAACGTTCTGCAACGACTTATTCAATTAAAATAGAATTATCATGATATTTGCTGAGCTTGGTCCTTCTCGATCGATCTTGGATAGATTTCATAGCTCCCTCTGTTCACAGCAGAAATCATCATCACAATTCCTGAAAAAAAAAACAAGAAGAAGATATTACTCAAGCACTGAAATATCGAGTACAACGAATATGGAATTTATTAACAGTACTTACATTGTTGGGCCTTCTTAGCTGGTCTCACTGAGAAATTCAGAACTGCTTCTACTCTGGATGGCGGAAAATGAGAATCCTATAGGAGCTAATTTTGAAACGTAAACAGATTAAAGAGAAAAGTAACGAAAATTGAATAAAATCCACTTACAATCTGAATCTCTTCAATTGACCTAAAATGTATGTATGACCACTTGAAGTGCGTGTGAAGCTAATGTTCAAAAGACTAGATGATTTCCCATGAATATCGTTTTTTCCTTACTTGAAACCGTAAATGTCGTGTATGGCTCGAACGACAGTGTACCTGACTTAAAACTGATGAAATAATTTGAATGAATTCATCTAACTTTTTTCATCTTATTCGAGTTTTCACACATTTCGTTCACCTAATTTTTCAGTATAAATTTGTTGCCAATAAAATGTAATTTTATTCAAATTCAAAGCAG